ATGATAGAATATTTAAAAGGAAACAAATGACCTAGAAAAAGCAATATGATTTTGCTAATTATCATATAACACTACTGATATACCTAACTCATACTTAATGAGATCAAGATTTGGGGATGCCATGGGTGCACGTCCTTTACACCTCATTTCCACAAAGAAGCAAACTAGGCACCTGGTGGCTGGCAACTGGTGCTGTTGGTGTGTTTCAACACCTGGAAACTCTGCAAGCACAGAAATGAGGCACCTGTGAAGTAACTAAAATTATGAAAATTATTGGATACAGTGTGTAAAGTTGGTTTTGTGAGTAGGGTTTAAGAGTTGTTTAACTGTTTGCTCATTGAGTAGCAGGAGCCATTACACTTCTCTGAGTCACTTGATGAAAAGACTGGGCTCTCCGAGTGACACTGCACTAACCATCTGAGATCACAAATCACACAAATACTACTAAATAGTAGTATAAAATACACTATCTACTAAAGTGAAGGACTAATAGCTAGTGTCTCTATTTTTTAAGGAAACCAATTTTTCTTTCCCTCATCTTACAGGACCATCTTTGCAAATGGAGAAATTCACTACCTCTGTGTAATCAAGTTAAAGACCCTTCAGCATAGGTCTATGAAGTCCTAAGCCTATTACGGTGTGGTTTTCCTCTTTTTTTATTTTTTTCTCTTAGAGTTTCTATTATTCTATTAAAAAAAAAAAAAAAAAAAAAAAAAAAAAAAGGGAGCTTAGAAACTGAATCCAAAGATTGCCCAAGTTTGTATGAGTCCATGAAACAGGTATTCTGAGGGATCAAGCATCACAGCAGAAAATTGCTTTCAAACAGTGACACAGCCAAGAGTTAGCAGAGTCTATCCACCAATAATTTGGAGAACAGAGAGCCTACCTAACTCTCCACACTCAGCTGGCAGGCCCAAGTCGGAGAGTTTTCCCATTACACTGCTTCCTCAAGCATGCCTTTAGCTGACACCAAGCAGACAGTTGGGCTCAGCTCACGCATTCAAGCAGGCATTAGATGGTGCTTGGTGCTCTGACTGATGGAAGGGACAAGGGATGAAGGGACAGCATGGTCCGGAAAAGGAGTGGAACTCGAGGGTTTGACCTCTTTTGTGACAAGAAAATATTGCATATAAAAGTCCAGCATCCAAGATCAAAAACATATCTTACTGTTGAAGTTTTATGAAGGTAATAAAGAAGTTCTATAAAAATGAAAGAAATTATATATGACAGTATTTGTTTGCCAGCTCTAGGAAAATGACAAATAGATTGGGTTAGCAGCGAGTTTTTGATTTTTGAAGAAATATTAAAGTTAGATGAGCTACTGGTTTATTCATTTCTGGAATAATAATTTCTCCTCTCCTGTAATGTACCAAAAAAGCAAATCCCTGTCACTGTGGAGACAGAGAGACATGAACAACTAGCAAGGTTCAGCGTGACACTGTAAAAAGGAGTTTCACCTTTAGGTATCTGGTTGAATTTTAAATGGAAACGTTCCATTGAGGGTTGTTTGATGTCCTGGGTCAGCTTGGTCTCAAATACAGCTCAGTTTGTCATGGACAAATGTTCTCATCAGAAGTACCCGTAGCAACAAATAACCTCCCCTACAAGGCCAGCAGAAAGGAGCCAACTTGAACCAATTCTCCGGGAAACTGTGTGTCATAACAGCATTCCCTTTGCAAAAATGGGAGAGCACCTGTTTTCTTCTCCCCTGGTGCCTAAAGCTGAACTCATATTCTCTGGATACCATAACACAAATAGAGTCACCTCATTTCCCCTTTTCAATTTCCAGAAGCTTGCAGGGAAGGTTGACCCAGCCCGTGCTATTACTTTAAGAACTGGTCTAAATCATTTTAGAAGCAGATCTGTGATGATCATGTCTTGCTTTTTAAACAAAACCTCCGGAGTGCTGGTCCAGCTGGACTTGCTTAATGATTTTTTATCCCTTTCAGACAGTGAACAAGATTTGTGCAAAACCATTCACAGAAGCCAAACAAACAAACAAAAAAGAGCAAACAAAAAACAAAAAAAACCCATCTCCACACCTACATGTGTAAACTCTGGCCAAACTTGACTGTCATAGTGTTGGAAATGAATGGCTTTATGTGCAACAGTTTAGATATATGTCTAATTTAAAAAAATACATAATTGATCCCTTAAAAGTGAGGAAGGTAATTGTGTAATTAATAAAGAAGCAGTCTAAGGATCAATGGCCACCTCAAACAGTAAAAATATAGCATAAAATACAATACCACACACACACACAAAAGTTCAATTTGATTTATGCTTCATGAAAAAGCAAAACAAATGCAATACAAATATTTTCAGTAGCTGAAAACTGGCTATCACTAGAAAAACACAGCTCCAGACATTCCTCATTGCTGGGCTAAGCTGTTCTCAAAATAATCAAACATAAAGGCTGCTGATGGAAATATATCTAATACTTCGCAGACACAAAGCATGAAACTGCTGTGTTCAGCACCGATCACCTTGCTTGTACTTTAGGGGCATTTGTTAAGCTTCATTCCACTGCTCACAAAGCACTCTGAACTCATTTGGCCTTTCTTACTCCCTGAGAGTAGACAGCACCTTTTTCTTACAGAAATTTAAGGACACTTCATTGCATGCCCTTTAAAAATAAAAACGTTGGAAATGGCGGCGTTTGAGGAGCTGGAGTCACTGTGTGTGTCCCAGAAGCAATCACAAACAACTCTGAACAACACACGTACTCTTGTGCTCTGTGGATCTTTCAGGCCAAACAGAGCAGAAGGAGCAGATTTCTAATTGTACATAAAAAGGAGAATCTCAGAATCTATTTAAAAAGGAGAAAAATGCTAGAGAACCGTTCTTATTGTTCTTATTGTTCAAGAAGTAGAGCATATTTTCTTGAACTGTTACAGAAAGAAAGACAACAACTGTACTTTCAAGAAAATATTTAAATAAAATTGATGAAGTGACAACACTTGACTGCATGTTTAAATTGGACAAAATTATAAAAGCTGTTACAGAGTGTTCAATGTGTTCCAATGTTATAATATACCATAAGGACTCATTCAAGCAGTGAGAATACTGCAGACAAGGCGTGAAGATTACAAGATGCTGTAGACTTCTGCCTGGTATAATATAAAATACAATCCAAAGCAGCAGAAATGTTTTTAGTGGAGTTAAGTCCTTCCCATCAGGGATCAATGGGGAGAAAGGAATCTCTGTGCCTTATGCTGTAAGAACACCGTATTATTTGCTTAACTGGAAGTTAAATGAATCAAAACTTCAAACAGTATATATATAAAAAAAACTAACATGAATTAACATGCCAAATTTTTAATAGGAAAGAAAATCAGATTTTAATGCAGAGGACTCAGTGGTGTATTTATTTTTTACACTAAGGTGTAAAGCAAGCTTATAAGTTAAGATGTTTCTTACAGCTTATACCTTCTGAAGACACCAGAGACTTACCTGACCACAAAGCCTCATTCTGAGAGATCTGGGCTCCATCTTCTCCTGAGTGCTGTTCCTCAGAGTGAGCTCTTATCAAACACCACTGAACTGCTTTATTTAGTATCTTCTTCTGTGATCTATTACCCTCTGACTGGAAGTTCCCAGTTAACTTTCTGTAATATCCCTCGCATGCTGTCCCCAGTATCTTACCTGTTCTGATACACTTGCATTTTTTGGACCACACATCCTTACACGGATGCTTACAGGCTATGGAGGATGATGCATACCACAGCTACAGCTTCTTAGCAGTGCTTACAGTCTCTAAACCCATCACAAAGTGCTCATACTCATGTGAGATGCATAAGCAGAGCCTAGGAACATGAGTTCACAGCAGTGTCATAGTTGTATCTCATTGCACTGAACAACTTGCACCTCACCTGGAAAACTGTATGCCAACTGAAGACAGATCTCTGGCTATTTAACAATATGTACCCCTCCATACTTCTTGTCCAGCATAGATATTCTGCTTTGAAAATTAGATTTTCATACATTTATCGTGGTAGTCAACGTTATGGTATCGTGGTGCAACCCATATGGGCCAGAAGCAAAGAGTTCTGCCCATAAATAAAAAGAATATAATGTATGACTCACTGCACAGGACCAAGTAAGACACAAGGCAGTTAATCAACTACTAGGAGAGTCCAATCACATGGTAAAATGAGCATGGAAATGCACCAGCCTACTTCAGTCATAAAGAACTAAGGAAAAAAAAATGTTAAAATTTTAAAACTGACCATAATTTTTTAAGCATCACTGTTATGAAACTTTGTTCTTCACGCTATTAATCTGGTGTGGAAACTATCACGGAAATTCACTAAGGCTTTTCCCAGGCTGCTCTTGTCTCCAGCAAAACTGGGACTCTTGTCCCCTGCAAAACCTTGTGTAGCATGGTGTGTCCCGGCCAGGGGGGCTGCTGGGGATACCTCTGTGCCAGCATGCAAGCCTCTTTAGCAGAATCTGCTCCTTACTGGGACATAGATATAATATTACAGATAACTCCCTATGCCAAATCAAACTTCACAGAATTTTACCTCTTCAGCACTCTTTAATGCCCCACACGCTTTTAGAGTCATCTCTTGAAAATATTGTTTCTTTGTATAAATATAAAACAGTAAAAAGATGCCATATATTTCAAAGTCAAAATATTAATAATGAAAAAATTATTTGTTCTGCACTGCAGAATTCCCCTCTGCCTTAGTTTACTATTTATAAACCACCAGTCTGGGATTAATTATTGTAAATCCTTAAGCCTAAAAGAAGATTTTAGGCATGTTTATGCTATGCATAATCTATACCATTATTAAACTGAAGCTCAAATACAAATTATGTCCTATTTTTGTTGGCTACCTTTTAACATTTCTGCATCTTATCCATGGTAAATACTATTCCTCAAGGGGAAGTCTTCCTTACAATCTTAAAAACATCAGGCTGCCAGAGCCTGCAGGAACGCTCCCCTGACGTGCCACTGTATTACAGAAGGAATTTTCTTTGCAAAGTACTCTCACCAGGCACTCCGTCCCTCATCCAGAAATTGATGTCTGTTCCATCTGCAGTGTCATAAACTTCTGTAACGTTGATAGGCAGTAGCAGAGCCATGATCTCTTTCACGATGTCACGAGCTTTGGCATTACCAGTAAAAGCCAGCCCAGATGGCTTGAAGGTGCCCTCATCAGACTCCATGACGATATCAAAGTTAGAGATGTTTTCCTAAATGTGAAAGGAAAGAACATACTGGTTTATGATTTCTACTGTAAGTGGCAGCTTATATTGGGTTCTACAAGTAACTGTGACAGCATAACTTCAGATTTGTTTCAGATTTATGAAATACCATCTAGATAAGCTGTTCCCACCTTATTTCGGTTTTCACTTGCAGCAATCACTTCCTACTCAGTTCTGCAGCTCCAGAAATTCTGGTGCACAGGGGAGGGTATGCAGACCGGTCAGCTTTAAAATTAGATGCCTGCAAAGCTTGTTCAGACTGTGAAAGACAGCCCACTTGACAAAAACAGCTGTTGCCTCTTCAGAATCGTATTATTTTCAATACAGCATGTTGTCAACTCTGACTTCAGCTAGAGGATTGAAATGCCAAGGTTCTGCCTGACCCAAAGGAATAATGTCTGTTTTAAGTGAAGTCAGTGTTTTGCAAGGTAAGTTCTTACAGGAAACATAAAATGTTACGATTTCAGGCATAAACGGCATAACAACGTTCGCTTTTTCTATACATGGAAAATTCTTTCTAGCTGAAAGAATGAAACTTAGCACCCAAGAGCCATTTATTTGCCTCTTATACACTCAGAGCACTCTGTCACAAAAGTCTAATTGGAATGAAGTACTTACAGACTTTACACAAAGGAAATGTTACCTCTCTTTGAGAGCTACAGAACATTTTCTGCAAAGTGAAAGAGGCCAGGTCAGACTGAAGAAAGCTGTGCTTCAGACTCTCTTGAATGTGACTGGGAGAACTTACTCGTACATGTACAGGACTGTAGGTTTTACTCCTGTGCTCAGATATGATTCTAGACTTTTATGGTTGTCATGAGTTATTTAAGAAAATCATTACAAGAGAAAGGTGACATTCATGAGTAACAGATTCATGTCATTAGCAGGTTATACAAGCCTATGAGTCAGTACAAAATTCCATCACCATTTTTTGGATATAAAACCAAATGCAAAGTGGCTGTGAATATGATTTTGCAAATATCAAACGTTGGCCCTGTAAGCTTTCAGAAGTTCTTTCTAAGAATCTGCCAAGAATTGTGTTTTATACTCTATTTTCTCCAGACTCTTCTCTTTTTAGTTAAGCGTCATGGAATCTCAGACTCATAGGGCTCGGAAGAGACCTCTGGAGGTCACCAAGTCCAACCCCTGGCTACAGCAGCTCCCCACAGCAAGTTGCAGGAAAGCATTCAGGTGTGTCTTGGAAATCTCCAGAGGAGAAGGAGGCACCACAACCTCTGTGTGCAGCCCATTCCAGGGCTCTGTCACCCTCAGAGTAAGTAAGTTCTTTCTCATCTTCAGATGGAGCTTCCTGCATTCCAGTTTGTGCCCATTGCCCCTTGTCTTGTCACTGGCCACCATCAAAAAGAGCCCAGCCTCATCCACTTGACTCCCACCCTTTAGATACTTATGAACGTCGATAAGGAGCATTTCTGAATGTAAACCATCATTGTATACCAAGCCTGAACAGCAAACTTCATAAACTGCCAGTAGTATTACTGTGGTCTTCAATTGTTTTCTTTCTCATTTAAATGTCCACACGTGTTTTTAATATGAAACTGAGGAAACAAACCACCCACAATACATTACAATGTATTCTTGCCCAGGAAAAAGGCAGCTCAGTTCTTAGAATGTGCGGGACTAACACGAAGACAAAATGCTCTGGGGAGAGAAACTAGACTCACTGGGGACAAAAAATAACAAGTCACAGCTACTTAAGTACCATGTGTCCTTAAGAAAGTTTTTGCCCTATTTTTTTTTTCCCCACTGGAAGATAGGATTAATTTTATATCTATCCACTGTCAAGTTTCAAATTAGGGTATCGCAATCTTTAAAAAATAAATAAGTAAGTAAAGTAGTTTGGGTTGCTTTCACTATGCCCTGCTTTTGCTTATGTACGTTAGTGTTGCTACTTACACGCAAAGAAATACGCACTGAGAAATACGCTGTGCGGAATGTGCATCCTTTGTCATTTGCATTTTATGGTGCAGGGATAACTAGCACTTATCAAAGCAGGCTGAGTCTGTTCAGTCTCCCTTGGCTAATTCCAGGAACAGGAGAACAAAACAGGGAGATTTTATAAAATAAAATAACTGTAGGCTCAGCTGTTTCTTTCTTTATTCCCCATACTCGATGCATCATTTAAACAAGCATTTTAAATGCAGTGCACACTTTTTTCAGAGATTAATTCCATTTGCTGCATCCTGATACTTGCCATTTCTCTTAGCACATAATAGAAAACAAAATCTTGGTGGTGTAACTTGCTGCCTAATTTTCTGAATTTCCATACAGACTTATATCCTTTATCTTCCTATCACAAACTGGATTCCATCCTCTTTACATTATCAATGTTCATCTCTTAGGCTAAACATTTAACTGAAACTTCATAATAAATACTGCAAGGGCAAATTGTTTTTTTACAGCTTACTATTTTCACTGAAGATACAAATAGGCATGATTACCAATGCTTATCCTATTTTTAACTCCTGTATTTTAATTCATTTAATTTCTATTTAAGCTACAAGAGAATCATTTTTATCTGCTAAGCAGAACCAAAATATAAGTGTTTCTCATCTCTAAGGCAAGCACTTGAAAACTTGAAATTACACTAAAATTCTTTTGATTATGAAAAAACCACCTTGCTATACACAGGTAGCAAACAATTACAGGTACCTCTAGGGGTAAGAAACACAGAACAGCAGCAGCCGATGCTGGCAATCCCAATTATTCATGCAGCTGATTATTCAACCCAAATCCCCACAATTCTTACCAAATGTTAAGCTGGACTCCAGTATCTCATGACTAATCTACTGAATCACTAATGGCAATTCCTCTTCCCCAGCTAAAGCAGTGAGACACCTGAAAGGCCAAAGGACAGAACAGTTGTCCTGAAAGCCTTCTGTAATTTGAGGCTATTAAAATTAAGAGTTATTAGTTCTCCAGAGCCTCATTCACTGGTTTTCTTTTTAATTCCACTGAAAAAAACCACCACTTTACAGGGAAAATACTGAAGTCTTTAATGGCAAAACACTGCCCTTGACTAATGGTTAATTTGTTCCAGTAATAGGGGACATCGGTTAAACTGTCAGTGCATTTTCAGCTTTCTGGTATTGATTTACACTTTAAGAAATACCAACACCGGTATTCTGGTATTTGACTCAGAGCAGTTTGGATCCAAGTATAGCAAGTCAACAACCATGTCACGGAACCTCGGGTGAAATGACAGCCATCCCACTTGCATTACCAAAAGTGTGTTTAAATTAACACCCAAGTTTGTTAGGCTGACAACTAATGCTATAGGAAAAGTCAAGAGAAAACAAGGAAACACAACACCTACATGGATGTGACAGCTGGGAAAGAAGAAAAAAACAGAAGACATCCTCTAGCAATATATAAACATGGTGTAATGTAATTTTGAACTGATAGTTAGGATCAAAATTATTTAATGAAGCCAACAGCACAAATAGAAACTAGAGAAAAAAAGTAGAACAGCTGCTAGGGAAGAAAGATGTGCCATCAATCTGAGGTAACCACAGCCATGAGCACAGTCATACAGCTCAGACCCTTTCTGAATGAGAACAGGGAAAATCAGGAACACAGAGATTTGGAAATCTTTGAAAGTTACCATCATTATATAGGAGGAACTTGCTGTAAAGCTGAAGATTATCACTATTTCTGGTGATAAGGTATGCGTGAGACTTATGCTTCTGTTAAAAGATATTTTCCTGCCGTACCGTGTAGGAAAGCTCTCCATGGTTTCTTCTTATCGAGGTATTGCTATCTGATAAGCCAACAACAGAGCTCTCAGCAACTTCCAGCAGGTTAGCATAGTAGTTGGTCATGTATTTACGAGCATTTCCCTGTGTGCAAACATGCCACTGGCACGTCTTGCCCTGCACAGTATTGCTGTTTGCTCTGCAGCCATTTGCCAGCAGTCACAGAGATCACATTCAGTACTGTGAGTTTCCAGGGATCACAGACAAGAAGATGCAGGCAGCCCTGCAGACAGCACTACTCTCTGTATGCATGCATCAGATTACCTGTAGCACTGACTTTGCACATTTTTTCTTTGACAAAGAGGCATGTCAAAGAGAAGTGCTCTTCCTAGAAAATAGCATAACTTAAAGCCTTCTGTGTTCAAATACAGAAGTATCAAACACTCTTTGAGACTCTGAATGACTGTCCCTTTATGAGAAGTTTTAGAATCACTGAATCAAAAACATAAAATCAGAGAATGGCCTGGATTGCAAAAGACCACAACGATCATCTAGTCTTCACCTCCCACAGGCAAGGACCAGAAAACCAGCAGACCAGGCTGCCCAGAGTCACATCCAACCTGGCCTTGAATGCCTCCAGGGATGGGGCATCCACAACCTCCTTGGGCAACCTGTTCCAGCGTGTCACCACCCTCTGAGTGAAAAACTTCCTCCTAATGTCTAACCTAAACCTCCCCTGTCTCAATTTAAAACCATTCCCCCTTGTCCTATCACTATCCACCGTTGCAAACAGCCATTCCCCCTCATGTTTACATGCTTCCTTCAAGTACTGGAAGGCCACAATGAGGTCTCCCCAGAGCCTTCTCTTCTCTACGCCCAATTCCTTCAACCTCCAACCCTCTAATCATCTTAAGTATTCATCTGAAAATAGGTAATATGTTCTACTTTAAAGTAGTAATTTAAATCAAAGACAACTTCTACAACTTTCAGCAATAGATTGATGAAAATACATCAGCAACTCTTTGGAAGCTGGCACAGCACACACATCCCTATTGATTTCACACAGCATGTTTTTAAGTTCTGATCAGGATGAAAGGTGCAATTTTAGAATGAGAAGAGGTTTTGGAGGAGAAACTTCATCACAGTGTGTCAACAAGAGGTGATGGCTTTCTGTGTCCTCCACAGCTGTAAGGAACTGGGATAGGTGTGTCCCAGCTTTCTTACAGTACAACATCCCAAAGAACTGAGGAGCTGCAGTCAGCAGAAAACATGAAAGCAGAGGAACAGCCACCTTCAGAAGATATCTCCTTTAGTAACTCCAGTTTGTCCTGCACAGTCACAGAACTGCTGGAACTGGTTTTTCCAGGGACTGAACATATTAGAAAATGTTGACTTCAAGGAGGAGAAAGGATACCTCCAGTATGTACTTGGAGGCCATTCCCTCACATACCTGGGTTAGCTTTGTAGCTGGAGCTTATAGATAAATAGAAACTTAATATTCATATATGAATGTATATACATATATATGTGTGCATATACGTGCTTGTTTCTGTGCATGAACACTTCAAAATAGTTGCTGTACACATTGTGTTACTGAGCTATCGTTCTCATGAGGTTTAAACTATCCTGTGATAAGCAACATCATTTTTTAGGCGGAAGAACCAATACTAGTGGAAATAAATAAACATTAAGAATGTAGGGCTTCATCTGTTGGCCTGCTGTTCATGTTGTGTACCTGAAGTAACATGGGGAACCTCATGTTTCCTTCCTGCCCTTCCTGGACAGCACAGGCAGATATTCCACCGGTTTATAAGTTTCAGATGACAGCTCTGCTACGCATTTGAGGGAACAAAACATGATAAAGGAAAAAAAGACAGAAGAGTTTTCTTAACATCACATATGAAATCTGCCCAAATGGTACCAAGATCACACTTCCAAGAGACATACTGCCATGACTGATTCCGTGTCCATCCTGCTTCTAGCAGGGAAGGGAATCAACTCTTTGCGTTGTAGAAAAAACTGATTTTCATTGCAGATTCCACTAGGAGCATGATAATTCTATATCAAGAATTATGAAATCCTGCTGACCAAGAACAATATATATAAAATATAATTGATCAATTATATTAGCTTTCCTGTGGTGAATATAATCAAGTATGCTACTAGTTGTTAAATGTAATTCTGGCAAAGGCAGTGCAATTAGGCAGTGTGATTACTTTCTTTTGGTAGTTTCGGACCTTTTTTATTAATTTCTTCTGTTTCTCAACTTAATGATTCACAGCAGAATTTTAAAATAGTGCCACCAACCTGACCTCCTAAATAGAAATTACCACATAAATTTATTTGCCTTACTCAAAGTTGACAACAAAATGACATGGAGGTCAAGGCACTGCCAAAATAAGCACTGAGAAAGCAAGCAGGGTTTGTGACCAAGGGATTTAGAGGCTACCTCTTCATGTTTTTTATCTTTCTGCATCCTGTACAGCTGTATTTTACCCTCTGCTGAAATAATTCTATATATCCATAACTAAAACAAATTCTTTTCTGCTCAGTTTCTTCTTTTTGTTCTTCAAATTCTTCTTCTTACTTTCTGTATTGTACAAATCTGAACTAATAGAACACAGAAAGAACCAGCATGCTTACTGTTAATTTGCTGAACTCATCCCACATTCAGCATAAAAGGAAATATCTAGAGAGAAGATCGCAGTGAAGCTGGACAGGAAATTCTGAAATGCTTCATGTCATTGGGTTTGTTTTCTTTTTGTCCCATTTCAACCCAAATAAAAAAGAATGGTGTGAGACTTTCGCACAAAGATCAGATGGTGTTAATGATTAAGTTTATTACGTGGTGAAATGTCTACAGGAGGCTTTATGTTCAAGAAGCCATTGTGCTGTTTCCTGCATGAATACAACATAAAATGCTAGTCCTACACCAAAAAGCCTCACACACCTTTTTAAGGCTAGACAAGAGATGAAAGTCAAGGAGAGAGAACAGGGGAACAAGAAGACAGCAGTGGTCAAGACAAAAAGCAGTAGTTTTAATTACAGAGAATATTTCCAGAAAATAGCCAATAGCCAAATGGTCAATGTCTTTCGTTTGGACAAAAGAGCCCGCATTCAAGTCCTGGATGTATTTGGTTCAAATCACACATAAATCCATGTCTCACATTTCACCAGAGTACTTGACACCCTGGGACATGTGTTCTCTGAGAACTCCAGTTCTGAGGAGACAACGTTTTCTGGGGAAGAATCATTTCACCTGAAAGCAATGAGAAATTTTTGGGGTATTTGCTTCTTTGGAGAAAGTAACTCATTAGTAAATTACAGCAGACGCCTCACGCGAGGCGTATATACATATATACAGAGTACTTAAATTAGCAATGATGAGATACCAACATTCCAGAAAGTCCTGTTTCTGCAAATGCAAATGCAAATTCAGTTTGGGGAAAATATCAGATCTTGTAGGTAACAAACAAAAAGGAAGCCATGGAAAACACTGATGATTAATGTTTTTCAGAAAATCAAATCTTTCTTAAAATGTTCAAGCAGTGTATGGCACACACACCAGATATTTAAGTAAGCATTCTAAACATCATTAAGATAGCAACAAAAACATATGCAGAAATACTTTAGCAATGCTTTCTCTAATACAGCTTGAAACAAATTCTTAACACATTAATGCCTCCAATGATCCCAATAGAATTATTTAAGAAAGTTTCAATTTGGCCCAGTATCTCTTTGCATTCTAATTACAAAATATTTTTGCATTCCTGGGAGATGGTATGTAATACTTATATTGCAAAATAATTATCTGCCACTCACAGTCCCTTAATTCAAATGGGTAAATAACTGTAACCTTGTCTTCATGGTACACAGATCCTTAGCAGAGAAAGTCCAAAGCAATTAAATGAAAGTAGAACAAAAGACCAACACCAACTTCAGCAATCTGTGTGCAATGTGAGGTACCCATCTTTGAACTTTCCCCTCTGCAAACCAAAATTGAAAACTCCAGAAGTCTATACCAAGGCAAGACAATTACATATGCTCATTTGTCCCCTCAGTAAGACATCATAAGAGTAGGCATATTAAATACTTCAAGCCTTGTGGAAGGCAATCAGGTACTGTTGTTGAAGGGAATATAAGAATCTATACAGAACAGATGCAATGAGCTCCTCCAGAACTACTAAGCCACGTTTCTCCTGCTTCCTTTATGCAACTTGGATAGGAAAACAGCAGCTGTAATGTTTCAAATTTTCTAAGCTATTTATATGGTTTGTAGATAAGAGCCATCCTCAACAACCAGATCACAAAACTAAACACTTCACATTTAGCACTGAATACCAGGATTTGGAGCCTGATTTATACTTAGATAATTTTATTTAATTCCTCTTCATCAAAGTAAGGAGTCTGTATTGTGAAGGCAAACCCGGCCTTTTTCCAGTCTAGGAGTAAATGTAAGTACCAGCTACCAATTAAAAGCAGCAAACACTTTGATGGGTATTTTCTTTGGGAGCAAAGATGGTGATTCCCCGAGGGCTTCTACCCCAAATTAAGAACTGCTCTGAGATGCAATGGTGGGCACCAGGTACCCCTGTACTAATGGAGGCACTGAAACTGTTGGACAGAACTTGGCTCTCTGCTCTTGAAAACATCTTGGAAAAATCATACAAAGGAATGAGGACTGTGAGATTCTCTCCAGAAAAAATGTTTCATAAAATGAGAAAATAGTTGCATTAGTAATCTGTGTGACTGATCTTACTCTAGCTGCATTGGCATCTTATTTACTGAGTGCTGTCAGGAACAGGAGACAGGGTTAGACTGAGCTTTGGTCAGCCCAATATGGCAGCTCTTGCTTTCTGATAAAGATCTGAACAGTCAGTACACCCTATGACTAGTCTTAGCAAACAGACACTACAACACCAGGCTCTGCAGAAATAACTGAGTGTGATACAAATAATGCCACTATCCGGGGATATGAGTTAATTATTCCGCATCATACTAAAATCACTTGGTGGCTGCTATCTCTTATTTCTGCAGTAACTTATTCCCTATACAGCACTGGCAACCTACAATGACAGATGATGAAAAAAGAACAGAAATTAAATTGAAAGAAAAAAATAAATAGGCTACAAAAAGAAGAGTATCTGTACTCATCCAGTCCTATATCTTCTTCATTTCTTCTCCCCTGCCACATTTCCACTGACACAAGAGTGTAATTTAGAGTGTCGAGGAAATCCATGTCTGTCTGTGCTGAACTGAACTCATCATAAGCCCAGCTATGCAGATGAGTCATATGGACCATCTTTTAATAAGGCATCTTTAAATAACACTCTTACTTCAGCTGTACTCATTAATATCAAGAATCTATGTTTTGCGCCATACTACTCTAATTGTCAGAAATCTGCACTAGTGAATCATTAAAAGGTTAAGATATTTTTCACGCTAAATATAATTTACAGTATTAATCTGCTTTAGTTTGTTATTATGAGTAATGTGATGTCCTGTTGTTGTATCAATTTATAATTCTGCCAGATCACATGGCAGGGGGGAAACAAGAACAACAAACAACAGATGGATGTCATTTCTGCTTAAATTCTCCATGTAAATTACAAATCCATGCTAACTTAAGACTGTACTTTCTTTGCAGAGAACAACATCGAGCTGGAATCACATCAGCACAGCAAAACTTGAGACATCTTTTTCAGTTTGAAAGTAAAGTAATCCGGTGTCTTTCAAACAACACCCAAATCTGCTTTATATTTTCACATTTGAGCCTTTAACCCGTTTTTTGATATTACTTCTGAATATAAATCCTAGAGACTAGAGTGAAATACAGATTATCTGAAAAAAGATGAGAAGTGTATAGGACAATTTGATGTGTTCTGACAGTTCTAAAATCACAGGATAAAGCTGATTTTCCAAGACGGGAATGGGTGCGTGCTCTTTCCAAAATCCTCAGAGGTGATAAACTTCCCACAAGCAGCATGCATCAGGCACAAAATGTTTGCTCTGTCCCTTCCAGCTCTTCTAAAATGCACTTCTGTAAATGAGAAGCAGCTCTTTCCCTTGGGATGTATTCCAGAATATTTCATGCCAGTTTAATCCTGCTAAACATCAGGGCATCTGTGAGTAAATCCAGAGTCCTTAATGCACACTAAACTGCAATCTGCCACCTCTCTGAGTGGAAGAAAGCAAGCTCTCAAATTTGTCTTCCAAACTAGAGAGCTGGGCTTCCCCTATAATATAGAGGAATAAGGATGACTACATTATGTATGGGTAGTTAAAACACTTAGTAATGTTAAAGAAGTTAGTGGTAGCATCACAGTGTTATCTCTGACCGCTCTGTTCCTATGCAAATCGATTTTTTTTCATCACAATGAGGCTGATTCAAAGTGAAGTTTCCATGTACTTGTTCTATTAGGCTGTTTACCACTGAAAGCATCCTCCTAGGAATTCATTACCTTCTTGTAAGTCTGTTGTACAGCAGGTGACTTCCAAAACACACTCTTACTCTTCTTGTCTTTAGAGAATCACAGAACTGTAGAAGTTGGATGGGACCTCTAGAGATCATGAAGTACAACTCCCTGCTAGAGCAGGTTTCCCTACAGTATGTTGCACAGGAAAGCAACAAGGTGTGCATTAAACACCTCCAAAGAAGGAAACTCCATAACCTCTCCAGGAAGCCTGTTCCCTCGCCTCCCTCACAGTAAAGAAGATCTTCCTTGTGTTTTTATGGAAATTCCTGTCTTCCAGTTTTTGCCCATTGCCCCTTGTTCTGTTATTGCACACCACTGAAAAGAGTCCACCCCCATCAACATGATTCAACATGAAAAGAGCATGCACTTTTGATACTAATAAACAGTTACAGAATCGCCTCTCAGCTCTCTCTTCTCCAGGCTGAACAGTCCCATGTCTCTCAGCCTTTCCTCATATGGGAGATACTCCTTGTCCCTAATCATCTTTGAAGCCTTACACTGGACTTTCTCAAGGACATCTGTCAATGGTTTACAGGCTGATTCAGCCCAGTTCTGTGACAAGAGGGGTGGAGGGATCCGGAAAAGGGAAACGGGACCCCAGAATAATTAAAAACAGTGGCAAAGATCTGAGGAGAAACAAACTAATTTACTAAATATGGTATGGGAATGCAAGATAACACACTATAATGCAATATAATTAGAATCGAAGCTAATAGATCAAATATACTGAGAGAGTATCTGAAAGGTCGACAGGCCTCACCAAAACACTGAGGTGAGATGCACAGTCCAACTGCACAGTAAGGAGGAGAGCGTGACGAAGAAGGAGAGGTTAGATGACCTACCAAGGCATTATACATATATCCCTCTGAGCAGAAATGATAACAACACAGAGAACAGTCTTCTGAGGAATGTAGTTCTTTTCTTTGGGGACAGGTACCCGAAACTGGAGCATTAACACTTTAATTTCCAGTGCACTACATGATGTTATGACATGGAATACCAATAACCAAAAATCATAAAACCATGACAAACATCCCTGTCATTTTTGAACTGGGGAGACCAGAACTGGTTGCAGTACTCCAGATGTGGCCTTAGCAGGGCAGAGTAGATTGGAGATCATCTCACTTGACCTCCTGGCCACACTCTTCTTGATGCACCTTATCATAGAATCACAGAATCATAGAATGGCCTGGGTTGAAAAGGACCACAATGATCATCTAGTTTCAACCCCCTGCTATGTGCAGGGTTGCCAACCACCAGACCAGAGCCTTGAATGCCTCCAGGGATGGGGCATCCACAACCTCCTTGGGCAACCTGTTCCAATTCCTCATCAACCTCTGTATGAAAAATTTCCTGGGAAATAAAAAACAAACATATTCTGAAGACTTATCTCCAAAATAGTCTTATGCAGTTGTCCTTTGTCACATTCCATACTTTGTAAAGGTAGGCTGTTGACAGGTGAAACAGTTGTGAAAATGGACAGTATTTTTATCCCAATAACAGAGATTGCATAAACAATATTCCAGAGTGTTTACAATATTCCAGATCACATAATATTAATAATTGGCACAGAGCATTTTAGAGTAGACACTATTAAAAATAAATTAAGACTTTTCTTGTTTTACATTGTAAGATATTATGGAAAAATGCCAGAAGTAGAAATACATAAGCCAAACAAAATTTGTTTATATTACCAACACATGTGGACCATTCCTCATATATTCTGAGAAAGCCAGTATGTTTGGAAGCTATGGCAGATCCTTGTGCAACATCTGCTTCAGGACAATTTTGTGATAGAGTACGTTAGGCCAGTGGAACACGTCTACACATAATCACATCACTTTGTTAAAAACAATATGAAGTTTACATTTATGATAGAAGACAAAACATTCTTTCAGGTAGAACTAGAACCACTATTTTCAGTTAGATATTAAGCTGAACATTCTGACAAAAATAATGAGTATATCGCAAAACTAATGAGAAAAGTGCTGTCAAGCAAACAATCTGAAAACCTTCTTTACCTTATGCAACTGGTAGTATTGCTCAGCACCTATTCCTCCTTGTTCTTCTCCTGTCCATAGCACCAAGCGCACAGTTCTTTTTGGACGAAGTCCTAAAACATATGTTAAAATGTTATCTCTTGGTATTAGTGTTCATCGTCTTCATATTCATCTATCTGAACATGTTTTGCATTGGTCTCCATTGTGCAATGCCAGAAAAACCGAAGTTTCCATTCAATGACCCCTACTTTCACCAAATACAAACTACATAAGCTACCACAAACTACTGTACTGTGTCCAGGTCTGGGGACTCCAATACAAGAAAGACAGGGAACTGTTAGAGAGGGTCCAGAGGAGGGCCACAAAGATGATCAGAGCTGGAGCACTTCTCCTAAAAAGACAGGCTGAGGGATCTGGGCTTGTTCAGACCGGAGAAGAGAAGGCTGCAGTGTGACCTAATTGCAACCTTTCAGTACCCAAAGGGAATCTACAAACAGGAGTCAAGTCAACTCTTTATGCGGGTAAATAATGACAAGACAAAGGGAAACAGTTTTAAGTTGAGGGAGGGAAGATTTAGGTTGGATATCAGGGGGGACGTTCTTTTCTATGATAGCCCTCATAGAAAAGAGAGTGGTGAGGTGCTGGAACAGGCTGCCCAGAGAGGTTGTGGATGCCCCGTCCCTGGAGGTGTTCAAGGCCAGGTTGGATGGGGTCCTGGGCAGCCTGGTCCAGTATTAAATGGGGAGGTTGGTGGCCCTGCCTGTGCGGGGGGGGTGGTTGGAGCTTAATGATCCTAGAGATCTCTTCCCACCCAAGCCATTCTGTGAGACTTCTAGTGTGGGTTTTGTTTTCCAGACTACTCTTTGCTTGTCTGTAGGAATGACTGGAGAAAAAGGAGCAGATTGTTGTGATGCTGCTACCAGTTGCCTCTCCTGCAGTAGCACGGGAGAAGTACATTTGTGGAAAACGCTGCAGGTATCTACAAAACATAACACAAAAATAACATGAAATAACTGACAAATTTCTGACATATATTCTGTCTTTCTGGTGGTCTGCAGTAAATAATGTATGTAAGCTTTCAGCAGATTCAAATCAAATTTTCATGAGGGCTACCATTTTTCATCAAGGTTAATTAATTGGATACAAGCTATTGGATATTTCCTTCTCTAAAACTGAGAGACATTACAATATTATTTTGCTTTTTATCAGACAAACGACAAGCAATTTGTACTCTGGAACGTAAAATACATTTGGCTACTGAATGTATGCAAAGCAAGGCAAACACAGGGCCATTTAGTATTTTGCTGTGATAGTTCAGTTTTCAGATATATTTTGAAGATGTTTCTGCCATGGTAGAATTGAACAGATAGACACTGTTTATTTATTTGATTAATTGTACACATAAATGAATACATTCAAGACATCAAGTCAGAGAGAACAGAAGAGCACAGAAGACCAAGAACAAATAGTGCTCTCTGCTGATTTTATTTCAGCAAAAATAACCCCCTCAAAAATGTTTAAAAAATACACACATAAAACACACAACCAAAGAGAAGCTATATAGGAGAATATAATAAACAATAATGCATAAATGACTTCCCACACTTTTGTGTTGAGGAGAAATAATATCAGCATCACTGTGAAAATGTGTTTTCCTAGTTGAAATGGATGATGCTTACAAATAGACCTGATCTTCATTATCTTTTTTTTCTCTCAATCCAATGAAAATCAGCTGAAGGTTTCTCTCTATCAATTCTATTAGATATCAGCTGACGGTTTCTCTCTATCAATTCCATTAAAAATTCAAATAACTGAAGACAGAGTGTAAAATAAGTACTCAAAATCTGAAAAAAACACCTTGGATTGTCCATTATTTCAATAAAAAAGGAAGATGGAGAACAGAATTAGGGGATTAAAAATTATATTTTCTAAATGTCTATTTGCTGACTGTAAACAGTAAGGTCATCGGCCCTCATTATTTTAAAGCAACTCTCCCTCCCGCCTCCCCCCTCACCCCAAACCCAGCAGATTTCCTGCTCTCCTCCTAAATCATTACTGCATAGGATTAGCCTCCTTTGCATTTCAAATCAGCCAGATGGCCAATAAGGGAAAATTAAGATGCTAAAATAGTAATTGTGCTGATGTTAGAAAGTTTTCAGACACAAAACAACCCCAAATGTGTCAGTGGCTTGGTTACAAAAAGTAGTAATTCATTCACAGCTTACGCACCCAACAGAGGTTCCAGTGAACGGTTACGTGTGTCATATCACAAACTGCAACTACTGAAGTCTCATATCCAGCCCACCACACTACAGCCGCGAAAGCAGCTAGAGCAGGAGATGCTCAAGACAGGAGAGCAGCATCCGCTGTCTGCTCCCGGCCATGGGAGATCAAGACCTGTTAGTCCACAAGTAAAGAAGTTCAGGTCTGCCACTGCTGCTATAACTCTGGCTGCTTGTGCTTGCTAAACCTTGAGAAGATCTCAGCTCACAGCCCCCTTAGCCTGCCACTGCATCTCTCCACTGAAGTAGAGGGGGAAGATGTCCTGCTGAGCTTTGCTCTTTCTACTGCTGGAGGCAGTGTAGCAGCTCTTCCAACCCCAGAGCTCAGAAATCTCTGTGAGGAGATTCACTGTGTGCTTTACTGAAGCAAAACGGGCAAGCTTAAAAAAAAAATAAAATAAAATAAAAAACCCCAGACCATAACCTCTGGGTGCGTTCATTTTAAATACAAAGTATATAGAGGAAAATTTCATTTCCTCATTATCTGAAAGTGATAATGTATTTATCTACTTGTTATTAACAACACAGGTATTCTGACCAAAGTACATCAAAAATAAATCCAATATTCACAAGTAAAATTACAAAGAATATTCTGAATGCGTGCCTTTATTGAAAGTATGAGGTATTATACTTAAATTACAATCTTTTTTTTTTTTTTTTTTTTCTTTTTAATAAAGTCTAACTATTTTGGTTTGCTTCTTAAAAACTACCAGTTCCTAAGCAAGAAAACACCATCAAAAAATAAGAAGTCTTGCAGATCACAGCACAAATGCATACTGAAAAGACTGATAAAATACCACTTGGACCACAAAACTATTTTCTGTGCTGAGTATATCAAGTACAGAGGCATGAAGCAAATTTTACAGTGAAGGAAAACTGTTTCATATATAAAACAGTATCTCTCTCCTTTTTGAAATATGACAGTCTAAAACAAAGGACATCAGAAGAAGTTTTTTTTCAAGTTTCTGGAATATTAAAGTATATGGATAATTTTAGAAAATGCAGGAGGTTATAACTATATCCTGCATCACTGCAAGGACCCTCTTGTGGCCTTTTTGGGTCACCCAGAACTGAAATTAACTAAGTGGCAGTTGCAGAACTCAGCACCTACTCAAAACCACCATAATCCCACCACCTCCATCCTACTGCAGTATTCCAGTAAAAAGAATAGCAGAAGCTTTACAGGACAACATTCAAAACATGACAGCAGGTACACAAACAAAATGTTTTTTTTGAACTCACATATCTTAAACTAAAGCCAAAACATATATAGATATTCACTCAGATTTTAATTTTTAAATTATAATTTTTAAAAAAATTAAATTATAATTTAATTTTTAATTTATAAATATCTTCGCATTTTCAATATTAACAAAAATGAAGTATCTTTTTTTTTTTTTTACCTTACTCTTTACAGGGAAACACAGTCATAATTTAGCACAAAGGTGCATTTGGGTGATCAGTTCCTGTATACTTACAGTTAATCCCAAGTAAAATAAGTACTGCAGGGCATCTTATCTCATAAGTTAAAACATGAAACAAAAACATTCCCATAGTCCATCAGTGACTGAGGATACGTGTAGTAAGCACACCAGGACATGTCTGTATTGTACTTCCTCAGTGCTGGAGTGGCTGACAGCCCTTTTGCTGTCTCCAGTGCTGTACTTCTGGATTGCCCTGACCAGTACAGTCATACTTTGATGTAGCTATTAATGATTACGTGTTCTCCTTCTTTTAAATGACCCTAATGTGCTCAAGACTTGCAGAAGTCAGCAGCAAGCCTAGGTTAGCCAAAATATCAAATGCTTGTGACAAAGAAGATCTATAATTGTACTAAAGGTATTAACTATTCATCCTGATTTCAACCATCAACTGCAATGAAGTATTTTGCCAAAAGCCTTTTTTTTGTAATTTACATAAAGTGTGAGTGCCAGCAAATAACATGGGAAAGTACACATATGTATACATGCATATATATACATTTTACATCAATTTGAAATAGAAAATGGATATTTTCCAGACATTACAATGTTTACTAAATCCACATAGGTTCCCACAGCTGTGGATGACCTATATGTGACAGGGCAGTTAACAGGGCACTATGCAAAATCTGCATTTTATGTCCTACGCATCTTGCTCATGCTTGACAGAATTGAGAGATTCCCATACAGCAAAAATGAAACATATATCTGGTATAAATTATAATAATATGTTACAGATTATGTTAAAAAAAAAAAAAGTGCCCTACTCTCATAATAAAACATAAGCCAGGAAGGAGAAATTTAATTTACTTTTTTTTTTTTTTTTTTTTTTTTTTAAATCAAAATGAGAGTCAGCAATGTAAATTCTAAATTTTCTTCACTGTAAAACTGCAGGATTTTTGCTTTTGTTCTGCTAGTGGAAAGAAAATCCCCTATGATTCAGACAAACCTAATCTTCCTATTTGTGCTGAAAAGCCTATCTCCTAAGACCTTGCGTTAACAAATGTTTATTGCTTCAAAATTGAGTGAAGAACAATGATCTAGCAAAGTTAAAAGCTTTGAGAAGACAAAGCACACCTCAAAAAAATGTCAGTATTACTTAAACCATGACTATGATATAGTTGTAATTCTCTGGAGAACCTAAAAGAAAAGTAGAGTAGCAGGTTTTTGACTGAGAAACTGCCTTTGTTTTCTTATATAATGTAATCCACTTGATTTGTCTTTGTTCCATTATATAGGTTTTGCTTGTAGTACTGAAGACCAATGGTTGGTTGTGTAGGATACTTGGAAGTGAAGAAATCAGGCAGTCTTATTTGTTTATAGCAAAAAAAAAAAAAAAAAAAAAAAAAG